TCCGGCATACTTGCGTCGAATCCCGACATCTTGCACGATCAAATTCCGATCGCACGTGTCGAAAACCTCGTACTTGAATAGTTTCATTTTGGAACGTAAAAACTCATATTTCGTCATATCCCAACATACATCTCATTCAAGAATCTCTGCGCTCAATGGGAAACCACTGGGAATGGAGCTGGTCTTGCCAACCGAAGTTCTTGCTCTTTTGACTATATCTTGGCGGAATGGAATGTGATTGAAACGAGAGTGACCAAATGCACTATCGCACAATTCAAGAATTTTGTTGACAATTTTATGACAAAGATATCAGCTGGCGCAATTCCAAGGAACAGCATAAGCCATTTTCTGAAGTTGATCGCCTGAAGGAAGTCTATGAAAACAGACACATCAGGCGACTTTAACTTCTGTGCTTCTATCATGACATGCTTCCCAGAACATCTCAGAAGCTATGTGAAAATGATGATATTTCTGTCTTGACCAAGAAAGAAATTATTTTCCACTCGTTTCCTACAAGGTGGCACGTCACCTTACACATGGTCAAAACTTATATGCAAGCTACCAAGATTTTATCAGACAATCAATATTCTGTACAAGGCCAATTCGCCCAACCTCATGAACAACAAGAAATGTATCCTCCTCCTGAAGACTCGTATCCTCCAGATGAATTGTACCCTCCAACAGGTGATCAAGGCTATTATGCCTCTGAACACTACCACTACTACAATGAAGCACATTGACCTTCACTCCAAAACAATACTTGCTCACAGTCTAAGCGTCTAATCAACCCTTTCCTCAACCCCTGATCAAGGTCCAATGACACAAGAAGAAAAGCACTTTCTTTTGAATGACTCTTTCATTTGTGTGCCAACTCCAAAACAGACTTTGGAATCTATGGGTGAAATGAACAAAAAGAAATTAACTTCATTTTCTTTGATGCAAGGGGACTGATTGGAGGCAAACAGTCTGCAAAACCTCTACAAGTATTGTGCAACGGCAAAAATTGATCCTAATGTTAAACCTTGTGCAACGGTATCAGGTGTTAGAAGTAAGCGATCCACAGCCGCCTGCAATCTACCTGTTCAATTGACTGCGATTTAGCTGTCCAGATATTGTTGCCTTCTAAGTATATGAATTTACAGTATATAGAAGTATATAGATCTATCAGAGATCCTACTTTATCAACCAATTCACTCGTTGCTTGCAATATATTATAAAAAAGTGAGAACAGTCTGTCAACTTTTGACTTTGACACTAGGTCTCCACAGTCCCATGTAGACAACTTTGCTCAGATCAGAATACTGTGAGGTTGTAGTGGTTTGTCCGAGTTGATGTCCTAAAGCTATTTTGAAAGGTCTAACACTATTTGATGAAGTTCCAAAGGTCGAAACTAGGATCATGGCGTCCCATGAGATGTTGGAAAAAATATGCGCACCTTGTCGTTCCGGAGGAAGTGTTAACTCAAGTTTTCTGCAAAACTACTCAAAATTTATTTTTCTGGCGTCAGCCGTTACTAGTCTGTCTGCGAAAAGGGGCTAGCTAAATTTGCGTAGCTTTTACTCAGTGTTCCTACATGGAACCACTACAAACTGTTTTACTTATCAGATATTTTTGCCAAAATTACAGTTTTTAATGTGCAAATCTTGTGGCCAACTAGCGTTACACTTTGAACGGGTTGTGGCAAGAAGCCTCGTAGAGTAGACAGCGCATTTTTTCCTACCAAAAAGAATCATCGGCAAAAGGAGAGAGACTTAACGACCGACAGAGAGAAATCTCCGCGTCCATTTTGATTGGAAGCCATAATGGGGTTTGGGTTGGAGTTCCCTTCTTTTTGGCTTCGTACCAAAGTCTTTGTAAAAAATTGTGTGTCAGTCTATGGTACATACCACATGAAATCTCAATGGAGTTCCCTTCTTTTTGGCTTCTTACCAAAGTCTTCGTAGAAATTTGTGTGTCAGTCTACGGTACATACCACATGAGTTCTCAATGGATTCCCTCCGCCGGGAGGCATGTTGGGCAAGTGGTGGGGCCAAAAAATGTATGCATATATATTGCCAGGGGGTTGGTGGGGAGGGTCTACCTGGGAGGCATGTGATGCAAACAAGTTTTAAGCCAAGCGATAGTGCAGGGGGGTTTGGGGGGGAACCCCCCAAGAAAGAAGCACTGCCAGCATGGTACCTGCCAGTCACAGCTGACGCCAGCATCTATGGAAGTACTTTATATTTATAGCCTCAATGTCACGTTTTATAACAATCAATGTCCTATTAATTCTAAACTACTTATTGTGCAATGGAAATGCAACCAATTGTTAATAGGCAAACATGATCTGAAACTGAAAACACATTCCTCACATCAAAACCCCATGGGAACGATTTCAAACAATGTGTGGGTCCAAACCAAACTTTAATATGTTGTTACACCGCGGGAGCGATTTCAAATCAATGCCAACGCTGGTTCACAAGGGACGGATGCAAAGCTCATCCTCTTTCACCCCGCAATCCATCATCCTGCAGCAGCAGCACGAGGCAATCGAAAAGAAGGAAGAAGGTTGCAAATGAAATGGAAATCTGCGATGGAAGTGAGGATGATGATCATGGAGTAGGCAACAATGATCTCCATTACAATGATGATGATGATGATGATGATGATGATGATGATGATGTTGAGGATGCATCGTCTATGCATGATGAGCCAAGTGAAGAGCAGCGCAATGATGAAAACACTACAGAAAGAAGCAATGATGAATCTGGACACGAAAGTAATTTTCTCGATATTTCTTTTTTCAAACTCCCCTGTCTACAACAGGCCAAGCTTGAATCGCCACAGAGCCCATTTGACGTTCTGGCGCGTAGCTTCATTGCTCTCAAACATACCTTATTGAAGCCTCACTGGTTTCAGTTGTTCTACCGTGAAACTGAAGAGAGCAAGGCTTATGAAGAAATTGGAATTTTCCACGAGTTGCTTGGGTTGAGCCAAAAGGAGTGCTTGGACGTTCTTGTTGCTTCAGGACTTGTAGCACCTAACAAGAACTGTCAAATGAAAGCAAAGAAAGCCATATTCAAAAGAATTCAAGGTATCGTGGAAGGTGGCTTTGATTTTGAAATAAACACCAACATCAAGGGTTTTTCTTGCAAGCACTCTTTTGTTTTGATTGGTCCACCGACAGAAAAGATACCATCGCTGAGTAATCAAATTTGCAAAGAGAAGGAGCGACCAGCAATCGACTCACCAGGCATTCTCTCCATGATCCATGAGAGCTTCAAGCAGTACTATGATTCTGATGCTTTTCCAGCTCACAATGCCATCTTTCAAGGTGCCCTGATGCTTGGGGCCACTGCACTTTTTCTTGGAGCAGACAAAGGCGGCGGCAGTTTGGTGAAGAAAGTCTACCTTTGGTTTCAGGGGCTAAGTTACGACGTGGATCTTGATTTTGACGGTTCTGGAGAGGATGCGGCATCATGTGGAGATGCTTGCTATCATTTGTTCTTAAAGTTTGTCTTTGGCGACGATAAGCATGGCCAGCTGAAGGGCATTGTCAAGGGTGGAGGAAGCGATAGCGGTGGTGGTTTCACAAACGGGAAAATGAAGGAAGAGCTTGTGAGAAAGGGCTTGGCTAACGAGAATGAATACATTCACTGCCCATGCACCTCGCACAATGACCAGACCAATCTTCGAAATGCTACTGAAAGCATCTTTGGTGAAGGTGGAATTGAGAAAAGGAATGTCATGCAACTATTGCATGCGCTTTCGGACTTCCAAAACGATTTTTCTGACAAAGACCTATACTTAGATCTGCTAGAAGCTGCACATCATGATAAATTTCGCGACAAAGCAACAGTGCCAAAGGATTTGCTTTGATTGATGCAGGAGCCGATTGCAACAAGGTGGAAGACAATTGGAATGGCTGCAAGGTACATTCACAAGCATTTTGCTGTCCTTGTCAGGGCCATTTGCGACGTCGAGAGAACCCACACGCACAGGAATAAATTCGGAAGCAACTTCCTTTCCTTGGCAAACGAGCCCATGATCAAATGCGATTTGGCACTCTTGGCTGATTTTGATAAGATCTACTTCAACCATCACATGGAATTCAGTCATACCCCTGACAAGAACATTGGACGAAGCGGTTTCCTAGCTCCACATCACCCTGTACGATACTTCTTGAAGGTGAGCAAGTTGCAGGAGTTGGAAGAGGAGGTTGAAAAAGGAACACTGTACATCAATCAAACCCCCAAAAGTGCAAAGCTTCCTTCCTTCTGGCAAGTGATGAGGGAGTGTGAAGGCTTGGTGGAAATCGAAGCTCAGATTGATCGTGCCAGAAAGTTTCTTGAGGTGTATAAAGGCTCCCTTCACAAGCACAACAAGCACTTTTGTAACGAGCTCTTGTTTCTTGGATGCTTTGGTGAACAATCAACAGCGACAATTGTTGCAAAATATCTGACAATATCGAGCTTAGGAAATGATCCCTCTGTTGAAGATTTAATGGAAGGACAAAAAAGGAAGTCGATCAAGTCTACCATGCACAACGATAAAACAATTGATCTTGAGGCGTTTGCAGATTTCTTGATCAAAAGTGCAAAACCGGATTGTGTCAATACCATACACTTTTGCCGACTACGCAATAGCATTGATAAGATATCATGCCATGCAGATTTTTGGAATCTGACAATTGAGTTGGGACATGAAGATAGGTTTTTTTTTATTTGAATCACTATGCTGCGCTTCCTTCAACAATGGAAGGCGTCAAACGGAGCGTGAAGATGGTACAATTGTGCAAGAGAACGGGCAAGAAGGATCAGAATGTGACAGTATATGGTCTTGCTTGAGGTCCACTTGACATCAAGTGTAAAGAAATCAATCTACTGCACGAAGATGAAATGACAGAACAGCGAGCATGCGAAGAATCTGCTGCATCCGCCAAGGGGGAAGAGTCCTTTGAGACGGGCTCTTTCCAGAGTTTGATCAACATCGGCAAATCTACGGTGGAACAGTGACAGTTTTTTATGCACCAAATTGTCCACATGATATTATCCTTGGCTGCGACTTTCTCAATGAACTTGGAATCATGATCGATTTTCAAAACCATCAAGTCAAATGGATTGACAAAATCATTTCCATGAAGTACAAGACCCAATTTCAAAATCACACCAACTGGACTATTGCACTGGATCGCGGCTACTTGGATATTTTGGATGACAATGACACTGCAGATGATGCTTTCATCCTCAATGCAAAGTATGAAGCAACAACTGGAGCTGAAGTTGCTTCCAAGCAAGTCCACCTGACAAAACAACAACAAGATCAATTGGCAACTGCTTTGGAAAATAGACAAGAACTTTTTGATGGCAACCTTGGACACCACAAACATGAGAAGATCCATTTGGAAGTTGAAGACGGTGCCGTACCGATTCTTTCTAAAGCCTATTCTGTTCCTAGAAACACCAACACACTTTTCTCAAGGAACTTCGGCATTTGGAATTTGGAATCGGTCAACGTACTCAAGCAATGTGGTCCAACTGAATGGGCCTCTCCTACATTCATTATTCCAAAAAAGGATGGAAGAGTACAATGGATCAGTGATCTTCGCGAGCTCAACAAGGTTCTCAAACGTAAAGTGTATCCTTTGCCATTGATTGATGAAGTTGTCTCTTGTTGTGCTGGCTACAAATTCTTTGCCAAACTTGATCTCACAATGATGTATTATTCTTTTGAGCTTATGATGCAAGTAAAGAACTGCTACTTCCTTCTTTGGTACAGATACCAGACTTCAATTTGTCCTGCAACCGTTTCAATTCCCTATCTCCACGCTTGCATCTTGTCACAACTCGATTCTTGTTCTTATTGGCAGAACTGCCACTCCTACTCAAAGGCCATTCTCTAGGATTCTTTGGAGCTTGAGAAAGGTTCAGCCCAGACATTGTAGCTTGCGCATACGTTTACCCAGGTTGATTGACTTTTGCTACTTGAGGCATTTCAGGCTCAAATACAATCTCTTCTTTGGGTGGTTCTTGTAGATCCTCCAGATCAGTAACAAGGCTCCTAATATCATCGGTTCCTCTATCGACATTTTCTTGATGGTGATCCAAATCGGCCACAATAGCTTCTTCTTCCTCATCACCCAAATTGTCCTCATCTGATTCATAGTCATCATCTCCTTGGAATCTACATCATTGTCTGCATCTGCCAAGAGCTCTTCTCTTTTGGAGTCATCAATACCATCAAATTGTCCATGTAGATTGAAATCACGCTCATCTTCATCTTCAGGTTCATAGTCCTGATCAAAGGCTTCTTCTAAGTAACCTTGTTCTGTTTCATCCACTCCTGCAATTTGATCGCCATCTTGAAATGTCTCCAAATCTCTCTTCTTATCAAAGAACTTCATGGAAGTAACACCTTTGGAATTCGTCCCAATTGCATGATCATGCTGTCCAAGCTCAGCAACCATGCCACTCTTGTAGTTGATATTGATATTATCAATGAGTTGCTGCGGACCTAAATGTGATGAGATACTGTCTTTCTGGGGAAAGATATTCAATAGCTTAGCGGCTTGACGTCCAAGACATTCAGTGATCACCTTTGGGACCACTTTGTAGGGTAAGCGCACAAGAGCTACTCTGACTCTTTCTTTCAGCGTCCTATTGTTGATTATTATCCAAAGACGGTCAGAAAAGCACAAGCTCAATCTTAATCAGATTGGAGCAACTGTCCAAGCTACTATTCCAGCTATAGTTCCTGGAGCTTCAGCGTCCACAAGTGGAGCATCAAGTGTTGCGGGAAGCGTTAACACACCTTTGCGACTTGCTGGTACTACAGGTAATCAAATGATGCAAGTTCCT